CTACCTTTCATCTTCTAAGTTTAACTCTTACTTCCGATCTTCCTTGGAAACTGTATATCAAATCCATTGCAAAATTAGTATTTGTTAAGGTTGCATCTCTTTATCATGCTTAACACTTTCTTACTCTGGATTCTATTCTTTATCTCTATAAATCTCAAATCCGTCTTTGTATGGAATACTGTTGCCATACCTGGGGCGGATCTTCTAATGATGCTCTTTCTCTTTTAGACAAGGTGCAAAAATGTAACATATATTTCAAAAATATTGCAACCTTAAATGTTTAAATATTAAATATTATTTATTATTAACTCTAACTTTTAATTAGTTTTAGACTTTTCATATAAAAACATAATTTAATTAAACAATTTAAATAATTTAATTATAGTTATTTAAATTTTCATTTTATTTTATGTCTTTGTTGTAGTTGTCTGGTAAGTTCATGTTTAATGTTTAGAATTCTCAAGTAAGTTAATTTATATTGCACATATATTTTGGTCATATTTTTTTATAATACTTGATTAAAACTGTTTTATTTGCAATGAAGTTGTTTAAAATGATTTACATATACAGTGTCGGACAAAACAAGTGCAACCAAATAATACTAATTTAGTTTCTTTATATAAAAGAGCTGCATTTTTTCAATTTAAAGAAATAACTATGTAACTGTTTAGAGACAATGTTCTTCAAGTTTTATTCATCACAAAGTTCATTATTTGTACATGAAAATTAATAAATCAAAAGTTAAAAAAAAAAAAGTTGATTTCCTTCTGGACAAAACAAGTACACCTCCACAAAATGTTGACCAAGCTGTATTTTGCAATCAATGTTTCGTGGCAAATCAGGTGATCAATGAAACCTAGTGGAATCCCTGCCCATGCCTTTTGGATTTGTTCAAACAGTTGGTCCTTATTACGAACACCTTCACGATTAATTCTACGGTTGACGATCTCCCACAGGTTCTTGATAGGGTTGAGATCAGGAGATTGAGGCAGCCATTCCATCACCGATAGGTGGTTGTCTTGAAACCACTGCTTGACTATTTTTGCAGTGTGTTTTGGATCGTTGTCTTGCTGAAAAACCCATTTTATTGGCATATTCCATTCAGCATGAGGTAACATAACATCTTTCAAGATATTTTTATACATGAAACGGTCCATTATTCTATCGATTCGATGTATTGGACCTAGACCGTTAGCAGAAAAACTCCCCCAGACCATTACATTGCCTCCACCATGCTTCACGGTCTTATGGCAGTAACGTAAATCGAGGTGTTTTACGTCCGGTCGACGTACACAGCAAATTCCATCGCTCCTAATGATGCTGAACTTCGATTCATCACTGAACAGGGCAGTTCGCCATTTCTGCACATTCCAGTCAATATGAGATGTAGCAAACAGGAGTCTTTTCTTCTGGTTCTTTAGTGAAATCAGCGGTTTCTTTGTAGGGCGCCGAGAAAACAATCCGGCTTCAACAGCATGTCGTCTGATTGTTCGGTCCAATACAGGCAGCTCTAATTGCTTTTGTATCTCAATTGATGATATCCAGGGATCTTTCTTGACGGATCTGACGATCATAGAATCCTCTCTAGAAGTGGCGAAACACAATCTTCCACCTTTGTTATCTGCTGCCAACTTCCTCGTAGAATGATATTTCGAACGTAGTCTTGATACGGTCCATTTTTTCACGCAATATTTGTTGCAAATTTTTTTGTGACATTCGACTTACGTAATCGCCAATAATTTTCTTTCTTAGTTTCAATCCAAGACTGTTGGGAGCCATTTTTGCACTTAAAGTCATAAAAATAATAAAAATAAATAATCACGCTTCTCAAAGCTAACCGTGTTACATTTACCTTGCAATGATACAATAATGCTCTGTGGAACACAACGTTTTGATTGGATGTGAACTGTATTGATGTAATGAAACACTTGTTGTATTTCACTTCTTGTATTAATGTTCTTCGATAAAACACTTTAATAAAACTCACTTCGATAAACTGTCTTGATAATACTGACAGATTGACTTCCATATACTGACTGAATTACATGTCGGTTTACATGTCTCTTAAATAGCAAAATGAACTTGTGTGAACCTGTTCTGGAAAATTCTAGATGCTTCTTTTCGATGCTTCTGGAAGCTTTTGGATGCGTCTGGATGCTTCTGAATGTTTCTGGATACTTCTGGATGTTTCCAGATGCTTCTTCTGGAAACTTCTGGATATTTCCTTTAATTATTAAAAAAATTCCATGTCGTTGACACAGACCATACTTAAGAAAATGAAACAAAAAAAATGAAAAAAAGTTGCACTTGTTTTGTTTGCTGCAAAATGGCACTTGTCAACGAAATTCTGCCTGTGTGCTGTCACCTGTCAGCTGATTGCTCATGTCATGGCATGCTATGACTCTAGACTCCTGAACTGTTTGCTGTGGTAGTATAGTTCGTTTCGTTTTTAAGACATGTAAAATTAGGAACACTTTTTAGCATTGTTCGATGTTGGTTGCAAATGTTTTGTCCAATACTGTATATTAAAATTTTTAATCTTTGGAAAAGTTCTAGTTTTAGCAATATGAAAAACTAGTTGTAATAATTTAGACTGTTAAAATGGGTTTTATTATATTGCATTTTAACACTGACTGTAAAAATAGGTTTTATTATATTGCATTTTAACACTTATGTTATTTATTTTGTATGAATCTGTCCTAAGTGTTTTCAAATAATAGTCTATAAGCAAGTAAATAAGTTTATTTAGTAATTAGATAAGTGTGAGTTTATAAAAAAATATTTAAAATCATTATTAAAAAACATTTACTAACAAGCAGTTCTACACACATGGAGTCTTACACATGTCTTAAGTAAATGTCATAGTACTCTCTGTAAACCATTAACTTTAATATATATATATAAAATTGTTGACTGAGAAACAATTACCTGAACTCTGGAAATCAGCAAATATAACCCTGATTTTTAAAAAAGATAATACAAACAATGCATCAAATTACATGCCAATCTCTATACCATGTAAAGGTGTGAAATCAATCATTTGAAATAAAATTATTGATCATATTACAAAAAATAGCTTGTTAAATGAAAATCAGCACGGTTTCAGAAAAAAATACAAACTGCACAACAAACCTATTGGAAACTATCATAACAGATATCATAACAGATGCACTAGAAAATGGCCACACAGTTGATATATTATATCTAGACTTTGAAAAGGCTTTTGATAAAGTACCACACTCTTGTTTGATTACTAAACTTAAATCATATGGCATTGCAAGAAATTATTTAAGATGGATAGAAAACCAACAGAAAATAGAAAGTGATTTTTGGTGACAAAGTCTCAGATTAGCTACCAGTTATCAGTGGTGTAGCACAGGGATCAGTATAGGTACCACTGCTGTTATAGATTTTTATAAATGATTTACCAGATCAAGTCGAAAACCCTATCAAACTTTATGCTGATAATGGTAAAATAATACTCTTTATAAAAAATCTGAATGATTCAATAAGCCTTCAAAGTGATAAATAGTATAATGGCATGGTCATCTATCTGGCTCAGAAAATTTAATTGAAAAATTTAAAAAATGCAAAATTATGCATATCGGGAAAAAAAATTTACATTTATAATGACTGATATTGGTTGCAATTAAATTATGTAACACGGAAGCTGAATGTGATTTAGATTTAATGATTCAATCGGATCTAAAATGGCGCTCACAAGTTGATTCAGTAACTAGCAAAGCCAACAGAATGTTAGGTATCATAAAAAGAACATTTAAATATTTAGATGTTACATAGTAAAAAAGCTCTATACAACATTCATACGTCCACATCTTGAGTTTGCAGGACAAGCATGGTCTCCATTTCTACAACAAGACATAGACAAAATCAAGATGAATTAAAAAAGAGCAACTGAATTAGCACCTACAATTAAAAAATTACCTTATGAAGCTAGGTTAAATATTATGCAATTAACAACTCTAGAAGAACGTAGACAACGTGGAGATCTTAATCAACTTTTTTAAATTCAACATAGCCATGATAAATAAATTGGGTTACAAACAATTATCAAAACACATCAAATGAAGGTCCGTATTTATGATTACACAAATTCAAAATAAAAAAACCTTCTTGCAGAAGCACCTTCAGATATCACTTTTTCTAAAATCGAGTTGTAAATGCGTATAATAACTTACCATCTGAAATAGTAGAAGCTACTTCAATAAATAACTTCAAAAGTAAACTTGACAAATCTGAATTTTGCAGAAACTTTTTGTTAAAACAAAAACAAAAAACACACTGAGCTGTTACAGTGCAATATCTACTGTTATTGTACTTCATAACTGTTAACACCAGTTGATACAGCTATATCTTATTATTATTATTATTATTATTATTATTATTATTATTATTATTATTTAATATATATACGTATGTATATATATATACATATGTGTATATATATATATATATATATATATATATATATATATATATATATATATATATATATATATATATATATATATATATAAATATAAACATAAACATAAATATATATATATATATATTTTATATATATATATATATATATATATATATATATATATATATATATATATATATATATATATATATATATATAAAATATTATATAAAATTAGATAAAAATCTAATTAAAATTTTAATTCTTTGCTTTCTCTAAAATAATATATATTTTTTATTATATATTATATTGATATTCATATATTTAATATTTTGTAGTTATATTCATTTATGAAATGTAAGATTAAATCTCCCACAATCTTAAATACAGTTGAAAATTTCATACTTTATATATTTTGAGTTTTATCACTAAAGTTTATTTTGATTTTTTGATCATACTAGATAATTTTATTTTTTTATTGATGGGCTATTTTCTACTTATTATTTAATAAAGCATTTTTTAGATTATTAAATTGAAGGTTAAGGTTCTAATTAATTACTAAATTTATTAGGAACAAATATTTTTGAGGGTGAAGCTTCTGAAAGTGACGATGAATACTCAGGAGTTAGTTCAAATGTCAAGCACACTGAGTCAAAGTTAGAATCAAAGGTAAATTTGTTTCATTTTCATAAGAATAAATTAACTCAATAAAACTATTAGAAAACAATTTAAAACATTGCACAGTGGACCAAGATCGACATAAAATGGACAAAAAATCATAACTCTTTTATCTTAAAAGTTGTCAAATTGAAATTTGTCATCATGAAGATCATCTAGTCATCATGAAGATCATTTGAAAAATATATATATATTTTTTTAAACACTTAAATAAAAAAGGGTGTATAGGGCGTTAGGGATTTTAGACATTTTTTTAGTTGTTTTTAAAAACAGTTTTTTCTAGATTAGAAGTATTAATTAGTTATCATGTTTTTTACAAGTTAGACCCCTTTTTATAAACAAAGAAACATTTATTTATTTATTTACATTTATTTATTTGTTTTATCAAAAATCAGAGTAAGAAACAAAACCTAAAATTAAGAAATAGTTACAATAAAAGTTTAAAACAATCTTTGTTTAGTTCTTTAATACATCTCAAACTCCTTCTTAGAGAGCTAATAATTGGATCTGAACAGCACAATAATCTTTGCATAACATGTTCATTAGTGAGTTTTCTTGAATATTTTCTTGTATAGTGTTTTCTATAATTTTTAACATCTTTTTTTCGACATTTTTGAGCTTTCTCAGAAAGAAGACCTACTGGTACTGGTTTATATCTTACAACTTGAGAAGTATTTATGTAGAAATTATGGCATTGGGAACCATGGGTACAGAGAAATGCGGAGCTCTGCTGTTTCTTTGGTATATTTTTCAAGTTCATCAGCATTAATTTGATGTTAGCACAATAGAACACAAAGATTTACATAGAAACGTTTCATTTTTTGTCAAGTATTTTAGTGAACATTTTATAGTTTTGAAATACTTTTTGTGTTGTGTTTCCATCATTAGTTGTACCTGAACCGCTGCTTTGGCCCACCTACAATTAAACCTAAGTGATTTTTTTCATTTGTATTTCATCTTTGTTTGAACAATAATTTTTTTATAACAATTTCTTTAGAATTTTCTCTCCTAAATTACCACTTTCCTAATTCAATTCTATAACTTAAATAAAGTCAGCGTTCAAAGCACTTAATCCACGCATGTAATGTGCTCAATCCAAGTGGAAACTGTTTTAGTTCAGTGGAAACTGTTTTAGAGATTTTTGAAAAAGCAACATTTAGATTGTTCATATTTAAAGGGGTCAGTTCACAAATACTACATACTTGAAAAAAATTACTTAAAGGTGAAACTATAGTAGCAACATTTCCATCAATCATTGTACATTCTAACTTATGTTTGATAATAAAGGAATTAAAGACCGTTGTTTTCAAATTATTGTTCTTAAAGAAAATATATTGATGTGTAATAACCTCAGCACTTTCTTTTACATGTTGAAATTGTACTGGATGGCAGTAAAGTGTAGAGGATGATTATTCATTGGTCCATAGTGATTCAGAGCTAATGGTTCCTCTCCAGTAAACATTGTTGTTGAATTAATTGCACCATCTTTCTCTGATTTTAATATTTGCTTCACAACTATTAGTGTAAAAATGTAAATTTGAAGAGTGAGATGAATATAATCCATTAAGAAAATTTATCACTCAATATATTTTGTGAGATTTTTTTTTTAATAATATAAATTAAAAATGACTATAGTATCAACCCACGGAATTAGAAAAAATGAGGTCAGCAAATTATCGCTGACCTCAATCTTTTAGAGATCAGCATCAAGTTGGCAAAAATTATTTGATACAAAGGTGTGACCATAAAACATAGAAACTAGGTTGGCAATTTTTTGTTAGGTCAGTTAGGTCGGCATTTAGGTAGACAACTAGTTAAAATTAAAATATCAGATAATTGTATTTAGTATAAACACTTGCTAAAAAATAATTAAATAGTAAAGAACAGCATGAGTCCATAAATTAATTTTTATGAAATATTATACCTAAATTGTAAGAAGAAGTAGGAATAACCAAGCCCGAGTTTTGGCTTTTGTCTAGTTTATCTGTTTCAAAATATATATCGCTTGTTTGTAGTTCTTTTTCTAACTAGATTTTGTGATGCAACTCAAATCTATCCTTGTGTCTGTTAACTTTATTCCAATGATGCGTACATTTTTTTTATTTTTTATTTTTTTTTTAAATGAACAAACTTGAAAACTTTCCAAGGACTCCTAAAACAAAAATGAAAATGTTTAAACAACAGATTTTTTTATTATGGGGTATTGACTTTTAAAATTTTTCAAAAAAAAAAAGTTTCCACAAATAGTCATTTTTGGCATTTATTTAGGTGAAAGATTTTTTAATAAAATTCAATTATTGCGTTTAACTTGTGTCTTTGCTCAGCAACCTTATTTGTCAAGATTTTTATTATAGAGTTTACGTAAAACACCAGGTTTAAAATGTACGCATAGGTTTTTGCTGTTCCATCGTAATAAAACTATATTTGTGTTTTGATATGTGACAATGGATGAAAAACGGTTTTATCATTTCACACCAGAATCCAATCAACTGTCAGGTAAGTGGACGAAACCTGATTACATATTAGTTAAGGAATGTATTAAACATTTTAGTTAAGAAACATACAGCTATTCACGAAAGTATAAACGAGGGTGTAATTTTGATCAAATAGGTTTAGTTTTTTCTTCATAAAAAAAAAAAAGTAAAAATGATGTCAACTTAATTTTTTTTATTTATTAAAGAAAAATTAATCAGGTTACAATAAGTGTGAACTTGTTATGAAATTATTTATATTAATTAAAAAAAAGTTTATTATAAAAATACACATGTGAAAAATGAGTAGCACAAAACTACTCATTTTTCACATTCAAAAGTTGCTTTAAGTGCTCAGTTGATTGTATTTGGTGATAAGTAAGTTGATTGTCAATCCAAGACCAAATAATTTCAATTAGGTTGAGATCTGGTGATCTAGAGCACCAAAGGATCACATTAATCTTTTTCTGCAAAAAATATTCTTTGATTGATTTAGTTAAATGAGCTGGAGCCCTGTCTTGTTGAAAGATGAATTGCTCGCTTCTACTATACAACTGTCTGATTGATGGAATTAAACACGTTTCCAATGTGTTTTTGTAAGTGTACTAATTTATTCGATCTTTGTACAGCTCACACATACCAGTACCATTTGGTGATGCTTTTGTGAGAAAAACATCCCCAAATACCAATCAAACTTCCATCCCCTTGTCGACGTGGTTGCATAAACTGTTCTGAATATTCTCTGTTGCAAATCTTTTAACATATATTCTTCCCTTGTGGTTTACAACTTGAAAATTAGCTCCATCACTCCAAATGACTTTTAACCAGTCTTCAACAGTCCAACTCAATCTTTCTATTGACCATATTTGCCGTTTATGTCGATCCATGATTGATAAAATAGGTTTTCTTGCTGCGATGTATGTTCCAATACCTTTTTGCAGCAATGTTTGCCTTACGAGCTCTCTGCTTACATTACGATTATTTTTCAACTTGTTGAAGATTTGTGCTAGCTTTTTGTTGCTGTGCCTAGGATTCTCTCTGCAGATTCTGAATATTCTACTTTTGTCCCGGTCACTGAGCTTCGATGGTCTCCTGGAACGCAGCATGTCAACAACATCCTTGTTAAACTCCCAGGTTTTGACTGTTTTTCGTACGCAAGATTTGGAAACCCTAAGTATTCTGCCTATTTGAATGTTGCTGTGAATTTTTGACTTAAACATACCAATAATTTGCCATTTGATCTCACTTGAAACTGGTTTTTGCCCCATTAGCTTGCGATTTGAAATAATTTGAAATTTGCAATGATTTTAGTTAATTTTTGTTGAGTATGAAATTGTTGAATATGAAGCCGTTGAATATGAAGCTGATAGATGTTTTGACTGAAAATCTAATTAAGTTTATGTTTTGAAACAATTTTCTCACAGGATTAATTAATTAAAAAATAATTGAGTTTGAATAAACTCGTTTAAACTTTTGCGCTATTCATTTTTCGCATGTGTACTTTTATAATTAACTTTTTTTTAATTAGTATAAATAATTTCATAACAAGCTCACATTTATTGTAAAGCTAATTACTTTTTCTTTAAAAAAAAATTAAGTTGACATCATTTTTACTTTTTTTTTATTAGTAAAAAGCTAAACCTACTTTATCAAAATTACACCCTTGTTTAAACTTTCGTGAATAGCTGTATAAAATTTGTTTTAAATTGAAAATAAGTTAAGGTTTTTTATTAGAGCAAATAAAAATAAGAAATGCTACAGTGAATAATAGTGAGCAAATAAAAATAAGAAATGCTACAGTGAATAATGGTGAGCAATTAAAAATAAGAAACGCTACAGCACAAAACTCTAAACAAGTCATGATATGCCTAGCAGAGCAGTTATTGAAAAATGGGGGTTTAAATCCTGTAACTTTTAAACAAATGATTTACTTAGAAGTTACTTAAATTTGACAAAGATTTTCATTATACAAAGATTTTGAAATTATCACAATTTAAAATAAAGATACTAATAAATGAGCAACAGAAACATTCAAAAAGGAAACACAAGTCATAAAAAAAAAAAATTGCTTTTCAGATATTATTTTACGTTCTCATGTGCATGCATCAGATGCCTCACGGTTGGGTGAAGTTACAAAAAAAACCTGGATTTTTAATATGGATAGTACTCCTGGTACTATCCATATTAAAAATGAAAGTGCGGCTGAGTCCCTAGACAGTATTATAAGGCGGCTAAACATAGGGTTATTTCATATGAAATCATCCAGACCATGACACTCTTACGTCTCAGAATTTGTTCATTTTTACACCATTTACAGTCCATAATTTAAAAATTTTAACTGCAAAAATTTTATTCAAAAATACACATAGGTTCCAGAAATATCATCAGTTGCAATAATGCTGACTCAGCATTTTAGTGATTTTCTGTAGCAACTACAAAGCAACTTTGACATTAAGTATCTTCATAATGGCTTGGGGAAATTTCCTAAAATTTGGTACCCCTATAGGTTTTTACTTGAGGAATCCAAAAATAGTACCCTTAAGACTCGATTGTCTCAAGAAATGCCTCGTTTATCCAATTTTGTTCAAAATTATTGACTTGTAAATTAATGATTTTTTGAGGTAAAATGAAGACTGTGGCCCAAAATCCTGAGTAAAAAGTTTAATCGTATATCATTATTTCATCTTACGTCTACTGAAAAAAAGTAGATTCATCAATTGTCTCTCTAATACTTGATCAAAGCTTGCATTTAAAAATGGTGTCTTTAGAAAAATTTAAATTTTGTAACAAAAGCAATTAAAATATTTTTAAAAACATTTATTTGAGTAAAACATCAAATAGTGTTATTTGTTGGCTAGTTTACAACATTTATAGTCATGGTTTAAGGGAGGTCCAGGGGGTCTTGATTGACCTATGACCCCCCTCCCCCATATATAAGATTTTATTTTATTTTATTTTTACATAAAATGAATAAATAATAAAAAATTATCAAATTACAATTTAAAGTTGTAATTTGATAATTTTTTATTATTTATTCATTTTATGAATAAATAATAAAAAATTATCAAATTTTTTTTTTTTAATTTAAGTTTAAGAAACAATTTATTTTAGTTATTTCAAATTGATAAATACCTCTTATTTTCAAGATCTTTTTACGATTTAAAACTTCATTAATTTTAAAACAAAAAATATTGAAATGTTTTTCAAACATTTTAACAATCAATATCTTTATGGTATTATTTAGTAGTTCAAGACTAATATAGTCATTGACATAATAGGTGGAGATTGGGATTTATTTAAACCCCACCCCCCACCTTCTCAGCCTACAATCCACAGATTTGAAAAATAGAAAAAAGACAAATTTTAAATGCAAAATAGGTAAATAAAATAAAAACAAAATTATTTTAAATGTAATTAATTTTATTTTGTAACCAACAGTATATATTATCTAAATCTAACTCAGATATGTTGTACGTACGTCCTGATATTGTTGTGGCTGTAGAAATTTGGCATATAACTTCAGAATTGAGCACCCAACACTCATCATTTCTCATTGGCCAAAAGAAGTTTTTACCTGGTCCATGTGGATGCATGAATCTGACTTTTATATCAAGGTCACTTACATCTTCAGCAATCCCTACCCACCAAAATCCATCATAAAAACATGCAATATAATCCATTTTTTTTAAATGTTTAATGAAATCTCTACATTATGTTTGCTTTTTGGAATGATATCAAATATTTCAGTGCATGTATCAATACTTGTTTTTTTATAACTTATAGTGTTAGGAGCAATTGGAATAAAATGATGATACATCTAGTTATATCTTCTTGAGTCTTGTAAATAAATCCTGTATCATGGTCAACATCTTCTGAAAGGTAACAAAAAGATTTATGTTTGAGAAGTTTATTCTCTATAAAATAATGTACAATTGTATAAAGTGAACATTGACTTTTGCTCCAGTGATAACTTTGAACCTCATCCTGAAAAACATATTGATAATTTTCAGCAAAATCTCCTAAAAGTAAGCATTCATTTTGGTTTTCTTTACAGTCTTTTAAGTATCTACTTTGTGTTTTTGCAATATATGAATGAGTGGTAAGGTTGTCAATGCTGTCACATAATAAATCATTAAATTCATCTAGTGGCAATGATTGTAATAGTAGTGTTGTACGATCGGTACTCTGTCATTGCTTAAATGCTACATCTTCAAGCTCATGGTCCATAAACTCCAGTACTAAATATTTTTTTAATGCTTCAATACCAGGGCATTGGTTACATTGATGCAACATACATTCTGCATTTTCAAGAGAGCAAACAATCAATGCCATAAAGTCTTTATAACTTTTATTCCACCTAATGGTATCAATGAGAAATTTTGTATTTGGGTGATGTATGCATACACATACATTGTGGGTACCTGATGCATTAGTTGTAATACACCATTTAGGTTTAAGAGTACAAAACTTTGACAAACTGACTTTTTTAAATGCAACATGTAATTCATTTAGATTGAGTAGCAATAATCTTATTTAAACATGTTTTTCTTAACACTTATATAAATTTTTTTTCCTGGCATCATTCTTGAAAATTCGTCACTTTGATAAAAGTTAATCACTAAATTAACTGTTTCTGATGAATGTGGGTTTCCAGTTTTTTTTTTCAGGCAATGATAGAATTCCATGCTCAATTTTAACTTTTCTTGCATTTCGAGCAAGATACTCAGACACTTCAAAGTAGCTTGATATCTTTGTACGTGTCCATGATTTTGGTGCAAGCGTTAACATTTGCACCTTATGGCAATAAGAGTCAGTCTCTAAAATTTTTTTTTTATTTCATACATTAAAATCTCTAGATCATGGTCATTGTTAATGTTGTTGTTTAAAATAGGGCTTTTTATTTCTGTTGTTAAAGAAGTTTCTTTAATATTATATGCTAATGAGACCATTTTTGCAACTCTGTCAATAGTGTTCTTAAACTTTTGTTTTGCTACAGGCAATTTGCTGTGTTTTGAAAGACTTTTTAGTTTGACTGGTGAAATTCCAAGCAATTCTATAGTGGTATCTAACTTAATTTTTTTCTCAATTTTTAATTCCCATTCCTCCTGTGAATTTAAATCTTCTTCAGTTTCTATTGCTTTTTTGTAACATTTACTGCAGAATTTCCAACCTGGGGTTACATTAACGTTATTTTCTTGCAAAAATTTTGCCATGTCTATGGAAATCTATATATTACCTAAAAAGAAAATTTAGTTTTAGGTTTTTAAAGTAACTGAAAATATAAAAAATTTTATAAATGATAAATTGTTTTTCTTTTAACTTCCATATCAATTCTGTTGTAAATAACGTTAGATTACCTTTTATAGCAATTTTTTTACTTTCCTTGTGTGTTCCAAAAGGATTGCAGCACTTAGTAATTTTTCTCTCAAAATATTTTCCATAGAATTGCTCATGATAACAACATATAATTCTTATTGAACTATATTTTTCTTTTAAATTGGCTCGCCATATTATTTCTTCTTGTTTTTCACAAGGAAGATCTTTAAATTGAACAAAAACTTGTTTTCTAGAAAATCCAGTTTTGTGACAATGAATGTTAAGACTTTTTCCAATGTCACATTTTTCCATATTAAATACTTTTATTATTTACTACCTGCCAAAAAAGTATAAAATAAAATTCACTGTCATTCTTTAGGAAATTACAAATAAGTAAAGTATCTTTAAAAAGAACAAAACAAAATTTATGCTTGTTTTTGATATAATAGGAGGTTTTAATTCACTAATTTGAAATAATGAAAATAAATTGTTTCTCAAATTTAAACAAAAAAAAAAAAGTTTTTAAATTGTATTTTATGTCAACTAAACTAGTCAACAAATAACACTATTTGATGTTTTACTCAAATAAATGTTTTTAAAAATATTTTAATTGCTTTTGTTACAAAATTTAAATTTTTCTAAAAAGACACCATTTTTAAATGCAAGCTTTGATCAAGTATTAGAGAGACAATTGATGAATCTACTTTTTTTCAGTAGACCTAAGATGAAATAATGATAAACGATTAAACTTTTTACTCAGGATTTTGGGCCACAGTCTTCATTTTACCTCCAAAAATCATTAATTTACAAGTCAATAATTTTGAACAAAATTGGATAAACAAGGCATTTCTTGAGTCAAGTAAAATCCTATTGGGGTATCGATTCCTCAAGTAAAAGCCTATTGGGGTACCAAATTTTAGGAAATTTTCCCAAGCCATTATGAAGATACTTAATGTCAAAGTTGCTTTATAGTCGCTTCAGAAAATCACTAAAATGCTGAGTCAGCATTATTTCAACTGATGATATCTCTGGAACCCATGTGTATTTTTGACTAAAATTTTCTCAGTTATTATTTTTTAATTATGGGCTGCAAGTGAACAAAAAAAAAAAAAAAAATGAACAAATCCTGAGGCAAAAGAGTGTCGAAAGTTTTTTATTTTTGATTGATTTCATATGGAATTACCCCATATTAAAATTACAATGATAATGATATGCATTAAACACATAAAATAGTTAATTCATTAATTTGCTATACTTACATAAACTTTAATTGCTTCATTCTTAGTAATATTGTCTAAAGCAATGGTCTTATAATGCAATGCTTTTATAACCAATCATTCATTAACCCTTTTGTAACAGGATGCATCAAATCATTGTCTACTTATCTACTAATACTACTACTACTACTACTACTACTACTACTACTACTACTACTACTACTACTACTACTACTACTACTACTACTACTACTACTACTACTACTACTACTACTACTACTACTACGAAACTCTTGTACCAACCTTAAATTCTTTAGATTTTGCAGGCTGGTACTGCATAGATACTCTGGTATTTAACTTGTTTTTAAATTAGTTGCACTAGTTAGGTTTCTCAATTTTTTAAAATTAGGTTGATTTTTTTCATATGTGTAAACACACCTTGCCATATTTTAAATAGATTTAATTTGATATTCAATTCATATTTTCAAATTCAAAAGTATATTCACCACATACTGCACTTTTTTGTTCAGTTCTTGAAGCTTGTTTTTACATTCTTTAATTTTTTTAAGGTACCAGAAAGTCCTGGTAGTACAGGTCTTAGTAGTGGTGTTGTTGTTTCTGGTGAGGCTTCAGAGAGTGATGATGATATTGATGATTATATGATATCTGATCAAATAGGTCATGAATTTGAAATATCTAATGGTATGACTATTTCATTAGAAATAAAAAAGCCAAAGTTTGAGTCGTAAGTTAAAAGTTTTATTTTTATGATTTCTTAATTTTGTCTAAAATAGTTTATTTATTTGCTTTTATTCATTTTTATATATTTTAGTTTATTAATTTTTGTTTATTAGTTTTATGCTTTTATTTTGTTTGGCCTAATTCTCTGAGGATTTAAGATTTAAGCTCTATTGAGCACATGGTCTTAGGCTAATGATAGGCATAAATTGATACTTTAAATCCCCTACTTTAATTTCTAACATCAAGAGTGTGATTTGGAAGTTATTTTTATATCATATTTTTATATATATTATCTCCTTGACTCTACTCATAGAATTTTGCTTATGCCTCCTTGATAATGGCTATGTAACTCTTCCTGTTATCTCCATATGAGGGTACAGCTCTAAAACTCAGTTTAATGGTTCTGAGGCCGACTGGTAGTAAGGTTTCCCGAACTCTGTGGTAGCTCTCAGAGAGGCTGATTCCATCAACAGCTGCAAAATATCAGAATATTAACAGTGCCATGTTGCGCATGGATGGTGTCCCTGTTAATGCTTTTGGTGTGCATTGTCAAGGCCACATAAAGAGCCCTATGTCACGACTTAGGGTTAATTAACAGGACAGAGACAACTGCATAGCTCATTGATTAGGAGGCTGTACTCTATCTATGAATGAGTCAAGTTCTCATTAAACCCAAATCATGACCAAAGTAACCAAAAATTTAAAACCTAAAAAACCATCCCCACCACCTAAATATTTTAATATATCTTTTATAAATATTTGCGGTCTACAAAGCAACTTTCCATCAATTGAGTCTTACCTCCTGCAAAATTCACCAGACTTGCTTGCACTCAGTGAAACAAATTTAAATTCTGCAATTCCTTTTTCAGTGTCATCAATGTCACAATGTCAGTGTTGATCGGTACTATCCTTTGATTTGTAAAGACTCTAATAGTCACATGCTAGGTTTCGGGGTATACATACGCATTAATTCCCCTATTTGTTGTGAAATCAGGTTCGAATCCTTTGACCATTCTTTTATGTGCTTTCACCTAGCACCTCTTCACTCTATCACCTTTCTCTTTGTTCTTTATCGTTCTCCTTCTTCCCATTATTGCACTCTCTTAGATGTTATCTCTGATCAAACTGACCATGCCCTCTCTCTTTACCCCTCTGCCAATATTATTGTTGTTGGTGATTTTAATGCCCATCACACTGAATGGCTTGGCTCTAACACCACTGATCCTGCTGGCACTTAAGCCTTTAACGTCTGCGTTTCTTAATCTCTTACTCAGACAGTTAACTTTGTGACTCATTTTCCTGACAACCCTAATCATTTACCTTCACTCCTTGACTTATGTCTTGTCTCTGACCCTAGCTTATGTTCAGTTTCTCCCTTTTCTCCCTTAGGTGGTTCTGACCATGCAATGATCTCTATAAATCTTTCTTCTCGTACTTCTTTTTTGGGCTCACCTTATCATCGCACCACCTACTACTACCCTAAAGCTGACTGGGATTCCTTTTCGTGATTTTCTTCGTGATGGTCCTTGGGCTGATGTTTTTTCTCTCTCAGCTGACAAATGCGCCTCCTATGTAACCTCCTGGATTCAGGCTGGAATGAAAGCTTTTATTCATTCGCGTCGGTTTCAAGTCAAGCCTCATTCTACTCCATGGTTTTCTCCTTCTTGTGCGGCTGCTATATCCAATCGTAATCATTTTTTTCATCTTTTTCAAAAAATAACTCTCTTGGGAACAAACAGCTATTTATTATTGCAAGAAATCGATGTAAAAAGGTGCTTTCTGATGCTAAACTCCATTATTCTCAGTTCACTAAATCTCGCATCTTATCGCAGAAGTTAGGCTCTAAAGACTTTTGGAAAATCTTCAATAGCATTATTAACAAGGGTAGATCTAACATTCCATCTCTCATTCATGGGACTGATCTTATTACCTCTCCCAAGGATAAGGCAGAACTATTTGCAAAGAACTTTTCTTCTAATTCCACTCTTGAATCTTATGGACATTCTCTTTCTTCCATTTCAGTCAAACAGGTTGACCCATTGTTAGACATTCAAATCACTCCGGCTTCTGTTGCTAAAGTCATATCTCAATTAAACTCGTCTACAGCTTGTGGTCCAGACAACATTCCTGTCACAGTCTTGCAGAATTGTTCTCCAGAACTTTTTTCAATTCTCTCTAAACTATTTAACAAGTGTTTGACTGAGTCTTGTTTTCCTGCTTGTTGGAAAAAGGCATCTGTGGTTCCAATATTCAAAAACTCTGGAGAAAATTCTGACCCCTCCAATTATTGTCCGATCAGCCTTCTTTCTGTTATTAGCAAGGTCTTTGAGTCTTTGATCAACAAATTTCTCACATCTCATCTTGAGTCAAATAAACTGCTGTCAGACAATCAATACGGTTTTTGATCCTCTCGCTCTACGGCCGACTTGCTAACTGCTGTAACTGAAAGATTTTATCGTGCATTAGATGGAGGCGGTGAGGCTAGGGCTATTGCTCTCGACATATCTAAAGCTTTCGACAAAGTTTGGCATGCTGGTCTTCTCCATAAGCTTGCTTCATATGGTGTTTCTGGGAAAGTTTTTGAGATTATCAAATCATTTCTTTCTAACGGGTTTATTAAAGTCATCCTTGAAGGCCAACACTCTTCTTTATTTCCAGTAACTTCTGGGGTTCCCCAAGGTTCCATCCTGGGCCCTGTTTTGTTTCTTATCTATATAAACGATCTTCCTGACAACCTTTCATCTAAAGTAGCTCTTTTTGCTGATAACTTAACTTTATACTCCTGTCTTGACAAAAAGTTTTCTCTTTTCGATCGCCTAGAACAAGCAGCTGATCTTGAATCCGATCTCACTTCAGTAATAGATTCGGGTTTACAGTGGCTTGTGAATTTCAACTAACAAAACCAGTTGTTTACTGCAAACAATATTGTAATATGGTCAACATTCCTATGTTAATGAATGGCAGTCCTCTTACTGAGTCCTTCTCTTTACATCTTCTTGGATTATCGCTTACTACTGACCTTTCATAGAAACCTTATATACAATCGATTGCTAAATTAGCTTCTGCTAAGGTTGCTTCTCTTTATCGTGCTTGCCATTTCCTTACTTCTGATTCCATTCTCTACCTCTACAAATCTCTTATTCGTCCCTGTATGGAATACTGCTGTCATATTTGGGCTGGTTCTTCTAACGATTCACTTTCTCTTCTTGACAAGGTCCAAAAACGCGTTGTAAATGTTGTTGGACCTGGACTATCTGCTAAGCTTGAGCTTCTTTCCCATCGTCGTAAAGTTGCATCTCTTTCTCTTTTCTACAAATACTATCATGGTCACTGCTCAAAGGAGTTATCATCTCTAGTTCCATCAACTAAAGTTCATTCTGGTTTTACTCGTCATTCAGCTAAGTCTCATTCGTTTACTGTATCTGTCCCTGCATGCTCTAAAAACTTTTATTCATCTAGTTTTTTTCCCCGCACTTCAATCCTTTGGAACTCTCTCCCATCTTCATGTTTTCCTGACTCATACAACCTTCAACTTTTCAAGTCTTCTGTCAACTGTTTCCTTGCTCTATAACTCTGTTCTTTTTTTTTCTAGTAACTCCCAATTTAATAGTGGTTGCTTGCAGCCTTGTTGGGAGTGAATGCAACACTATTTAAAAATTAGGCATGAGTATATTTCAAACTGCCTTTCAAGACACAACCAATTATATAACAGATTAGTAAAATTCTGGAATGAAGTACCTGAGCAAAGAACTTTCTTTGCTCAGGTATTCTTAAAGGCTAGATTGCTGGTTGCAGGAATAAAAAAAAAAAAAATTTTAGGGACTTATCTCTTTTGTCACTCCGCTGATAAATGTGCCTCCTATGTAACCTCCTGGATCCAGGCAGGTATGGAAGCTTTTATTCCTTCTCGTTGGTTAAAGTCGAACCTCGTTCTACTCCATAGTTTTCACTTTCTTGCCCAGCTGTTATATCTAATCATGGTCATTTTTTTCAAATTTTTTGAAAGAAAAACTCTCTTGAGAACACACACCTTTTTATTATTGCAAGAAATCAATGTAAAGAAGGTACTGTCTGATGCTAAGCTCCATTATTCCCAGTTTACTAAATCTCCTATCTTATCTCAGAAGTTAGGCTCTGGAGACAAATTATTACCAATGTCTTTAAAAAGGACAAGTTGAACATTCCATCTTTACCAGTGTCTGAAAAAAAGAACAAGTTGAACGTTCCATCTTTAATTCTTGCATCTTATCTTATTACCTCCCCTAATGCTGAACTATTTGCAAAGAACTTTTCTTCTAATTTGAATCTAATAGACATTCCAAGTTAAAACAGGTTTACCCATTGTTCCAGGACAAACAGGTTAAGCCATTGTTAGACATCCAAATTATTCTGGCTCCCGATGCTAAATTCACTTCTTAATTAAATTCTTCTACGACTTGTAGTCCAGGCAACATTCCTGTCATAGTCTTACAAAAGTATTCACCATAACTCTTATCAATTTTCTCTAAACCCTTTAATGTTTGACTGAATCTTGTTATCCTATCTGCTAGAAAATGGCATCTGTGGTTCTTATTTTTAAAAGATTCTATTGTGCATTAGACAGAGGCAGTGAGGCAAAGGCTATTGCTCTTGACATACCTAAAATTTTCAATAAAGTTTAACATACTGGTCTTTCCATAAACTTGACTCATATGGTGTATCTAAGAAAATTTGAAATTATTAAATCATTTCTTTTTAATCACTTTTTTTAAGTCATCCTCGAAAATTAACTCTTTTCTTCATTTCTAGTAGTTTCTGGGGTACTTTAAGGTTCTATCCTTGGTGCTGTTTTGTTTTTATCTACTTAAATGATCTTTCTGATAACCTTACATCTAAAGTGGTTCTATTTGCTGTTGATTCAACTTTATACTGTCTTGACAAAAGGTCTTTTTTTTTCAATTGCTTAGAACAGGCAGCTGATCTTGAATCTGATCTCACTTCTGTAACAGCTTGGGACGTAAAGTAGCCTATGAATTTTAACTTGAAAGGTCCTAAAAAAATATTAATAAATGAATAGTATAGAATGTTTTTACATTTTTCATTTTAAAAATGGTTATTATAGTTTCTTTGATTTCTTATTTTTCAAGCACTTTTTTATTTTTAGGTTGTTTCACAAAAAGCTTTGTAAGTTTTGCCTTAAACCATTTTAGTTCATTTAAACATTTAAAACTTTTTATTTTCAAATTTTATATATTTATAATATACAATGAAATGTGAGCTGTTGTTTTTTAACTATAGGGGAAAAAAATTTTTCATTTCGCCATGGTGTTGTTGAACATCAGTTAGAACATTATGCAACTCTCATCAATAAACTTAAAGCATTTATACCTTCATCTAATCGTTCACAAAATTTTGCTCAGGTACTTTTTTTTTAATCTTTTAGTTCTCCATAAAAGTAAATTGTGAAATATTTTTCTTCATAGTTTTTGAAGAAAAGTATTTTTTTTAAAAACAAAAACTTGAGAAGGTGTATTAAATAAAACAAGTTTGTGTCACCAAGAAATTGTTTACAAGAAATACATTAATCAAAAATAATTCATAACTCTTAAATGATAGAAATATTTACACAACATTCAATCATAACTCTTAAATGATAGAAATTACACAACATTTAATCTTAACTCTTAAATGATAGAAATTACACAACATTTAATCTTAACTCTTAAATGATAGAAATATTTACACAACATTTATTCATAACTCTTAAATGATAGAAATATTTACACAACATTTATTCATAACTCTTAAATGATAGAAATATTTACACAACATTTATTCATAACTCTTATATGATAGAAATATTTACACAACATTTATTCATAACTCTTAAATGATAGAAATATTTACACAATATTTATTCATAACTCTTAAATGATAGAAATATTTACACAACATTTATTCATAACTCTTAAATGATAGAAATATTTACACAACATTTATTCATAACTCTTAAATGATAGAAATATTTACACAACATTTATTCATAACTCTTAAATGATAGAAATATTTACACAACATTTATTCATAACTCTTATATGATAGAAATATTTACACAACATTTATTCATAACTCTTAAATGATAGAAATATTTACACAATATTTATTCATAACTCTTAAATGATAGAAATATTTACACAACATTTATTCATAACTCTTAAATGATAGAAATATTTACACAACATTTATTCATAACTCTTATATGATAGAAATATTTACACAACATTTATTCATAACTCTTAAATGATAGAAATATTTACACAACATTTATTCATAACTCTTAAATGATAGAAATATTTACACAACATTTATTCATAACTCTTAAATGATAGAAATATTTACACAACATTTATTCATAACTCTTAAATGATAGAAATATTTACACAACATTTATTCATAACTCTTAAATGATAGAAATATTTACACAACATTTATTCATAACTCTTAAATGATAGAAATATTTACACAACATTTATTCATAACTCTTATATGATAGAAATATTTACACAACATTTATTCATAACTCTTAAATGATAGAAATATTTACACAACATTTATTCATAACTCTTAAATGATAGAAATATTTACACAACATTTATTCATAACTCTTAAATGATAGAAATGTTTACACAACATTTATTCATAACTCTTAAATGATAGAAATATTTACACAACATTTATTTATGGCAAACAAGATTGTAGTGATTCAAAAAAAGTTTTTAAAAATTTAAAAAAATTTGTTGCACATATCAAGTTGTGAGAGATTTTAGAAATAAGAGTTAAATAAGATACAAAGTTTCAGTGAAATGAATTATTAATTTGCAATTCAGTTGCAATAAATAAATATCTCTTTATTGATATTACATTGCAATTATTAATGTGCTACAAGACAAAATTTAAAAGAAATGTAAGCATAAAAGTGAGCAAGTAGAAAGTTCAAGTTATGTTTTGTTAATTAGTTATATATTGTATATATTTAAAATTACTATATATATATATATATATATATATATATATATATATATATATATATATATATATATATATATATATATATATATATATATATATATATATTTGAATATATCAAAATTGGTCAGGGGTGAAAGAGAGACAAAGTGGAAAAGAAAGTTGAAATAGCGTGTGTTCTAAAAATAGATTTTTTTCAGTAGCGTAAGGTATTATGGGATTGATATTCAGGCAAACGTTGCACAGAAACAATAGAATTTTTTGAAAATGTAAGTGGTTGTGGAATTAATATTCAGACAAACAATTTGACGTCAACAGTACAATATTACGAAAAAAAACTTCTGTTAGTAAATTTATATTACTATTAATTACGAATATAATTGGATCAGCTGCTAGAGATTAATATTAGCAGCTAAGGTGGAATATGAGTTTGGGGTAAGTCTAGGGTTTATTTAACTTTATCACGTCTTTTGAAACTATTTTAATATCAAATTTAAACTATGTGTAAAAATGTTTTAACCTAAAAACAAATTTCAGTTATATCTTGAGTATTGAGAGTTATCTTGAGTAATCGTAAATTAATTATGAATTAAAATACAACAAAAAGGTTTGAAAAATTGTTTATCAAGTTCTATCAAGAATGAAATGCAAGTAAAAGTTTTGTGAATGTTTAAATTCCTGAATTAAGTTTGATGTATCAGACTAGCCTATACTTAAAGTTTTTGTCAGATTTTTCATCTTTTTTAAAACTAGAGAACTAGAGAGTTCTTCCATTGTAAAACAGACTGTTTTACAATGGAAGAACTCTCTAGTTTTTCATTTCAGCAAAACTTCCTAGTAGTAGTTTTGCAGAAATGAAAAACTGCTAGTAGTGCTGAATGCAGATAATAAAACAGAAAGTAAATGAGCTAAAACTTATTTGCTAAGGACATTTTAAATGCAAGAATATTATAACAACTAGTATATATCAGTTAAAAACTATTTAATGCAAAGATATGTAAATGTTTATATATATATATATATATATATATATATATATATATATATATATATATATATATATATATATATATATATATATATGCATGATATTGAGATTAAATGTGATTATCCTTAGCCAACTCAGTTATGGTTCCTTAGTAAATTTGAGTATAAATAATTTAGATAATCTGCGGTACTGAAGAAAATATAAATTAAATTTTTTTTTAATGAATAGTTTATTTTTATTGTTATAATACTCTTTTATTTGAGTACCCAAAGATATACCAAAAGTCTTTTGGTGAAACCTGTCAGCAAAATGGAAAATGATATCTAAAAGGTAGAATGATATCCAAAATTATACTTATATTAGGCAACAATATGGGCAGTGGTAGAATCAGATGAACTTTGGGAGTGGAATGATAGAATCAGATGAGTTGTGAGGTGAATTATGGAATCAGATAAACTGTGGGGGTGGAACAATGGAATCAGATAAACTGTGAGGGTGGAATGATGGAATAAGTTGAACTTTTTTATTCATTTTTTATAAATTGTGGTTTTTTAATTCTTTTTTGGTTTAGTATGGGATATTGGTGTACTGCAAAGTTGCATTTGGTGTAATAAAGGACTTGAAAATAGAGGTTTGAGGATTCACATATTGTTATTGGTCTTTAGATGCAAGAGTACTTAAAAATGATGCTACTTAGATGTTGACCACAATAAAGTTAAATAAACCCAAGATATTGCCCCTTGTGTAAATTTGGTTAAAAAATGCTGAACTAATTTAAATAATTGAGTTGCTTTTGTTTTTATGGCAACATGACGTTATAAAGATTTTTCAATATCTGAGAATTTATCAAAAATTATTATACAACATTAAAATGAGTGAAAAAATTGACATCTTTTTCATGAAACAAAATGTTTCTTCAAAATATGTTTTATCTTATAAAAAACTTTAAAATAAATATAAATAAATATTGTACTAATTAGCGCAGAGAAATGTCATATAATTGGAGTAGTTAAAATAAAAATATGCATGGTTTGTGTACTTTTTTAAAAACAACATTTTACTGCAACATATCTCCTTTCTTGAGCATTATTTTTTTTTAACTAAAATGGAGTGCTCTGACTGACTAATTGAGGAGTGGAATTGACTGATTGTGGCATGGAATTAGCTGACTTTGGGAGTGGAACTATTTCAATCAGTCCTGCAAGTAAAATTTGTCTCTAACTTATGTTTATACTTTTGGTTTCTGTCTTTATAGTTTAGCCTATAAAAGTTTTAAATTCTATTTTTTTTATGGGCAGTTGTAAATGGACAGTTCCAGTCCTCAGTCAGACAATCCCATCGCTCATTCAAACAAACCTATTTACAACAAACCTGTTCAGTCAATCAAAATATTTAATTTAGAAAATACTGGTTAGGTCAAAGATTAAAAATATAAGATATTGAATATTTTGTCCTATACATATTCCTAACATTATTTTTATCAACTTTTTTATCAAATGTTTTTTTGAAGTTAATTTTTATTTATTTTTTTAATTATTTTTAAGTTTGTATAAAATGAATTTTCCGTTCCAATTAGTAATTTAAAAAAAAAAAATACTTTTACTGAACAGATACTAATCTGTTCACATTGACAATAAAATTCGTTTTGATAATTTTGATCAAATACGTTATTAAATTTAATTTTAGGACGCTTTGAAAGATTACAGAGTAATATCTAATCTAACGAAACATCTAAATGATAACCTAGAAAATGTTTTGGGTCAGGTCAACATTCCAATTTTAGTAGAAGACGTTTCTTTATGTTAATCGATTTTTTTAAAACGTTTAATGAGCTTTTAAATGTTTTTTTATTAGTATGACATATATAACATAGAAACCATTATATATATATATAATGGTTTCTATGCAAGACGACAAAATAATTTGTAGAAATTGAAAATAGGTGATATTTATATTCATATTTATATATGATATATTCATATATATGATATATATATTCAGCGCTCGAAATAATTATTTGAAAGTTGCCGATCAACAATGATCGGCTGAAACAAAAAAATAAAAAAACCAGGCGATCAAATAATTTTTTAGACGATCAATTTTTTATTAAATTTTACTAAAATTTACAATGCATTTTTGATCCTACCTCACATGATTTTTGTTTTGCCGTTATAATTTTATAACTTTTAATTAATTATAATTTTATTTATTCTCTCTAGAATTTAAGTGAATCGTTCGTTTTTTTGTTTTGAATTTATTAATTTTATTTAGAATTTAATTATACTGTTGGTTTTTCCGTTTTTCTTTTTCTATTATTTTGAGTATATATGATACATTGCTGTTTTTATTTTAATTATTTTATTTAGAGTTTATATATATTGTCTGTTTGCCGTATATTTAATTGTTTTAATTTGAATATAAATAAAACATTACCGTTTATATTTTAATTATTTTGTTTGGAATCTAAATTAACATTAGTTTTGCCATATTTATTTTAGTTATTTAATCAGAATTTAAGCAAATGTTCGTTTAAATTTTATTTAGAATTTAAAAAAATAATGTTTTGCTGTTTTTATTTTAGTTATTTTATTTAGAATTAAGATAAAACTTTGCCGTTTTTTTTTTATATATATATTTTATATAAAATATAAATATAATGTTTGTTTTTCCGTTTTTAATCCTAATTATTTTAAAATATAAATTAATTTTCGATGTGCCGTTTTTATCTTATTTTATTATAGAAAATAAACAGATGGTTTGTTTTGCCGTTTTCTTTTTATTTAGAATTATAATAAAACTTTGCCTTTTTTAAAAAATTATTTTATTTAAAATTTAAATAAGTTGTTTGTTTTGCCGTTTTTACCTACATTATTTTACTAAGAATATAATTCATTTCAAAATAATTGTGATGTTATTTAAATTTTAACTTTCTGTATTTAAAATGTTTTTGTATTAATCCCGGTGGCTAATGAGTTAGCGACTAGCGAGCGACTAGCTAGCTTTATAGCGATTTTCTAGCGATTTTTTTTTTTCCTATTTTATTGTTTCTTAATGTCTTTAACATCTTTAAAAATTCGATTTTTAGTGTTGAGTCTATTATAATTATGAGGATAATCGAACTTTAAACATTGCGATTTTGTAGCAATGTGTTGCTAGCTACATATCGTAGCTTTGTAGCTAGTCACAAAATATCTACAAATCCATAGCTGGTTGATAGCTACATATCAAATTTTTAAACAACGACTTTATTACGATATGACGTTATTACGATTATGACGTTAGTTATATATTCATATATATATATATATATATTTATATATATATATATATATATTTATATATATATATATATATATATATATATATATATATATATATATATATATATATATATATATATATATATATATATATATATATATATATATTGAAGCTGCTTTTGATTTCTATAAACGTAAGTGTCAATTCGACTTTTTGCGTCACATATTTTGAAATGGAGTTATCAGATTTTTAACATTGTTTAACTTGAATATTAGTCGGATATTTTCTCTATTCCTTAGGGAAGTGTCAGTCAACCGAATTTCACTGTATTTGAGTTTAAACATACAGTCGAAGTCTTTTTGATTTATTGGTTTATAAGTTTTTTGTAAATTATTTTATTTCTATGTAATTATTTTATTTATTTTTATTTCATTTAGTAAAATTCTTGTATTACATTGTTTAAAAATATTTATGAACAACTTATTGACAAAATATTTATTTTAATCTATTATTTATCTATATAATTGACTTAAAATGTTTGTTATAACCAAAGTTGTAAATGATCAATCATTACAGTATTAATTGTTAAATGTAATTTTCAACTAATTAAACGCCATTCGGTTAAAACTAATGGTTTTTAGTATTACTAATATCGGTACTTATCTAAAAAAAACATTGAAGATAAGTGACATTAATCGTATCCTCGACTTTTGTATAATAAGTGTGAAAATTTTGTAGATATTTGATATATTTTAGAAAAACGGTTAGATTGTAAAACAACATGTGGTTGAAGCGTTTCTTTTAATTTTTATTTTAACATTTTCCGCTATTTTTTATTTTATGTTATATTAACTTAATCTAAAAGTTGTTTTTTAAATATTTAAATATTTCTCGATTATAAACTATCAATATTTTGAATTAAAGTTAATTTCAGTCAATAGTATAAATGTCCATGCCTGGTGGAACAACCGCAATGAAAGATGCAACCGACGAAGTTCAGCATATTATTGAAAAGGTAAGATTAGACGAATAACCAACTAAATTTTAAAAATTTAGTAAATAAAAAATTTAATCAGAAAAGAAAAAAATTGCAAAACATTAAATATTATTAAATAAAAAAATTTATTTTAGGTAAAAGACCAAGTATTAGGCAAAGTTAACGATGCGTTAGAAAATTATAAAGCTATTTCATTCAAAACACAAGTTGTAGCTGGAGTTAACTACTTTATAAAGGTACTTCGTTCTGTCTAGATGATCATCTAAACTGGGATAAGATTTTGCTTCAAAATTTTATAAGACTTTTTTAATGTGATTTCAAAAACGTTGTGAGAAGTAATTTTTTCTATATTATGAAAACATTTTTTATTTTCTGCAAATAACTTGTAACATTTAATTTTAGGTGGATATTGGTAACGACAGATATATTCATTTAAAAGTGTTCCGTCCTTTACCTTTTGATAACGAAAAGTTTGAATTACACAGTGTTCAAGAACATAAATCTAAAGAGGACGAATTAAAATATTTCTAAATAAAAACTTAATTTTTTTACTTCTTGGTAATATTATTCTATTTATATAGAACTATTCTATTAGTTTAGTATTTATTTGTTATTAATATTGTTAGTAATATATTTTCTTATGCTTTATAAACATTTTTTTTTTGTTTACAATAAAATATATTACTAATAATTACATATAACTAAAAATGTTTTTCTAATAAGTTTAATTATTATTAATCTTCTAATGATGTAGCAATTTTAACTTTATTTATAATATTTGTCAATAAACGCGTGAGTTACGCAACATGTAACTCCTAATTAAATTTAAATGAACCAGGAGCTCTTTTTCATCTACTTTTTCCGGTATGGAAACCAGACATAATGGAAAAACCAGACATTTAAGAAAACCATTTAACCTTTGAATACCTAAGAAAGTTGATTCGATAACAATTACATATTTTAACAAAATTTTTTGGATAATTCAAAATATGCCTTATATTTATAAATATGCTAGTTTGAATTTTGCTAACAAAATACTAACATCTTAGTATTTTGTTAGCAAAATACTAAGATGTTTAGATTCATATCTAAACTACCTAAAACCCGAAAATAGCACTATAATGTACAATTAGGGTTGTCTTAAGAATATAAAATCTTTATTGTTTGAGGCTGTTTATAATCTCAACAATTTTTTAGCAATTTTTACCACCTCCCCCTTGTCAACAACTTTAAAATTCCGTCAATATTTGTTTACCTCTCCCCTCTCCCCTCTTCCTTTCCTACCCAAACTTAAAATGGGAAAAAGCATCTTTTCTTCTTTTTTTAAGCAATTAAATTTAATAAAAAGAGTAACATTGTTAACTTCAACTTATCTTGGCCTCCCCCTCCTTTGTCAAAAAAGGTAATTAATGGACAACCCAATTCAAGAAAATAGCTGAACTTCGTGAAATACCTAGTGTAATTGTTATTTATTAAAAAATATTTGAGTTAACTTTGTCTTATATACAAAAGCTGTCACTACATTTATCTAATGTACTTAAATTAGCTAAAGTTATCATATACAAATATAATGATCGTTCAAACATCACCTACTACAAAACAATAACTTTTTTTATCTTTAAAACTCTTCTGATGATTAATGCAAATCTTTCTTATTAACAACAATATTAAGGAACTATAAAAATCATTGGTTTAATCATAGTCAATAGAAGTTATATATATATATATATATAGATATATATATATATATATATATATATATATATATATATATATATATATATATCGATTCATTAACGCAAAATTTCACAAAACCATAGTCACTACAGGGGCGGATCCAGCATTTTTTGGTGTTTGAGATAGCTAACTTCCAGACATGGAGCAAACTCCAAACATTTATATGTTTATACTCATATCAAATAAGGATTGTTTGCAAAAAATTGCGATGATTGGAGCCTGGGAACAAAAAAACCCCACAATTTGAGACGTACCTGCCCCAAACGTGAGAGCAACAAGTTGATGAAATATTTTTTTGTACTATTCTCAACAAGACTTATATTTATTCATAAATTTTAAATTTCATTGTAAAATATTTTAGCGTTCAAAAATTATGACCATGTAAAGTTTGCATCCCCCTCAATTCGAGGGGGTTACAATTTTCATATGGTCATAATTTTTGAGCGCTAAAATATTTTACAATGGAATTTAAAATTTATTGATAAATATAAGTCTTGTTGAGAATAGTACAAAAAATATTTTATCAACTTGCTGCTCTCACGTTTGGGGCAGGTACGTCTCAAATTGTGGGTTTTTTTTGTTCCCAGGCTCCAATCATCGCAATTTTTTGCAAACAATCCTTATTTGATATAAGTATAAACATATAAATGTTTGGAGTTTGCTCCATGTCTGGAAGTTAGCTATCTCAAACACCAAAAAATGCTGGATCCGCCCCTGCACTAGAAGTTATACCTTATGGCTAATTATTGCGTGTTTTAAAGAGTCTTATTATATCTATAATCTCTCTCTACATGCATACATACATACATACATACATACATACATACATACATACATACATACATACATACATACATACATACATACATACATACATAAATACATACATAGTTAATATGAGGATACTGATGTGGGCAACAAAACTGCTTCGTATTTTTTGAATCGATGAAGTGATAACAGGAAATAGTATAATTAGCGTTTATAAATCCGTTTCATTTTTGTTTGAAAAACAAAGTATGAAAACATTTATTTTTGATTTTATTTTAAGAAACCATTTTTGTGTAATTTTAGCATGCTCAAATAATCAAGTTTTTTATTGAAATTACCGTGTTTAAAGTAGGGTTGTTAACCGGAGGATTTCGTGCAATTCCGGAAAAACAACATTCTTTCGTAAGGAGATTGAGAACGAGGAATTACATTTTTTCGTACCGAATGTTACAAAACATTTAAAATCGCCGATGTTCATTTCGCAAAAGCCACTTCCGAAATTTAGCATTTCGCAAGTTGACATACGAAACAAAACTATTTTGCAACATACGAAAGTAGCGGTTTCGGAAGTCGCACTTGCGAAACAAACATTTTCGCCAAACGACGTTTTGAAGTCTATAAAGAAAATTTGTTTGCCAGACTGATTTTAATTGTAAAAACTAACATCTTTAAATCCCAAAATGTTTATAATGAATTTTTATTTTCAGTATAATAACATATTAAATTTTTATGGTTTTATTTTTAGAAATATTGATAAAAAATAAAATTTCTTTCGAAACGAAAGTATTTCGGATCACAACATACGAAAGAATTCTTAACGAAAATAAACTTACGAAACGTGCCATAATAAATATATATAACGATTTTTTTTGAACTCATTACGTATATTAAAAATAAGAATGATGGGTAGGAATATACATGTTTTTTTTTTAAAGCATATGAAATTTTTGAAACAGGTTCGAATATGCTTAAGCAAATAGTAAAAAGAGGCTCAAAAATATGCTTTAGCTTAAGCATATTTCTGATAAAATATACCTATTTCAATAATTTCTAAAAAGTGTGCACGTTACTAAAGTTCTAGCAGATTTTAAAGGTATGTAGAGTCCTGTTTGAATACGCTTTTCGAAGTATAGATCTTAGAAAATATTGTTTTTTAATTTTAATAAGATATAAATTTAAGTATAAGATCGTATAGTTCAATCAGTTAGATACGTGATAATTCGCCGCAGAGATCCGGGTTCGCAACCCGCAGCCATTGTAACTTTTGTTCATCAAACTCTTTTTACTTAAGATAGCATGTTTTGACCTCCATGTTCTATATTACAGATCTTTCGTCACCTTCATAATAGTGACAACCTCTCTTCTGTTAGTTATTCTTTTAAGATTGAGTTCATTGTGCTTAATTCTACACGTTTCCCTTGCTTTACTAAGTTCTACTTAAATTATGATGAAATGTACGTAAAACAACTTTTTCAAATAATATAAATCATTTTGCTTTAAATCTTTTGCTTTTTGTACTAGACATCTGTCCTAAACACTTTGTAATAATTTCTAGTTTACTCTGAGTCTAATATAATCATTTCTGAATATAATTTCCCTTAGGCTCCTACAGCCTATTGTGTCCCATTAAAAGTAACTAGTTTTCGAGTCCAGATGTTAATTATAAGCAACTAAAGGTTCACATTACTATTCATTTTCCTGATATATAGAATCCTATTTGCATACGTATCTCTTTCTGTAAATTCTGTTTTATATAGTTTCTTAATTATATTATGAATAAATATTACTATTAACTTAGTTGAATGTTAAGACATTTGCTATTAAAAATAAATCAGAATAGATACTTAAACAGATACTCGTATAACAGCTACCACCAGCCCACAAATTATTTTGCGGCTACTAAATTTTCAATTTCTACTAGAGGACCAAAAGTATAGAATAAAATATTAACTAATGATCTTAAATCAATTTCAACGCTTAATGATTTTAAGTCCAAATTGAAGCAAAAACAGTTGATGAGCAACGTAGCGCATGGTTTCTTCTGATTTATATGTAAAGGTGTATACTGGTTTAAAAGGAAAGTTTCAGGATTATGAGTATTTGCGTGCATGCTTTTTAAGTATATAAGTTTTTTGCTATACTATAGTATTGCTTTTACTTTGGTATTTAATTTTTGTCCTTTTGTAATGTTAAAATAAGAAAAAAAGTAGATTTTCAAAGTTAGAGAGGGGCATTCAGGACCTATGAATTTTATCTTTTTGTTTGTTTGTTGTTTGTTTCTTACAAATATAAAAATTCTATATAACAGTACTTTATATGCTGTAGTGCTGTAGTTTTACGATTTTTATATTTTATTATTGTGTATTACGGTATAGATTAAGATTATCTTAATCATGGTTATTACGACATGTGTCTGGCAAATCTGTCGACATATTTTCTGCTGACATATAATATGTCCTACATTATTTTCGACGTATTTTGACATAACTTTATGTCTGAATTGTTTTCTGATGAGGTAGAATATTTCCGACATGTTTTCTGTAAACATATTCAGACATAATTTTGTCAAAACTATTTGCAAAATAACTACAGTTATTATACAATTAATTATAACAACTCCTGTAAAATAATTTTTCTGTAATTTAAACTTTTTGATGTTTAGAAATTCTTCCTGATAAACATAGAGAAGGAGAAACAGCCTGTCAAAAAAAAGTAACTAGATAAGGGTTTTTACTAATTTATCATTACTCTGTTCTAAAGGAACATCAAGCACTCTTTGTAGAATACACTAATTTGTATATATAATCACTGACAAAGTGACAAGGAGAGGGCCAAACATTTAAAAAACTTCTATTTTTGATTCTGGCTGCCTTATCCCCCTTAATTTCCGTTTTAGCCCCTTAATTTCCGTTTTAGCCCTTTAATTTTCTTGATCTTTCCACGCCACTGTATATAATATAATAAACGTTACAAACTTTATCGACTAAAACTTTCGTAAAAGTTATGAAAATGGACCTTTTTTGAAATAAATATCTATCAGCATTAATTTTTTATGTTTTATGTATGATAAAACAAAAAAATTTCTT